AAGGCTATTACATATTAAGAAATGACTAGATAGATAAGACAAGAAAAGCAGAGAGCATTATGTAGTTTCCTATCTCCATACCTGCCTCCGTACCTGCCTATCTGCCTGCCTCCTCGACTGTTCATTCCAAAAGCCATGGGGTGTGGTGGGCAAGGCAGTTGGTTCCAATGACCTGCAGTCAACTGCGGTCTGATAATATTAAAGAGAACATTTCAGCTACTTTGAGAGAGAGAGTCCATATTTACATGACTTTTATTAAAATATTTTGTTATAATTATTCCATTTTATTGTTAGTTATTGAGGTGAATCTCTCATTATGCCAAATTTATAAGTTAAACTTTATCCTAGATGCATATATATATATATAAATATGGAAAATAGCATACATAGGGTCTATTTTTGGTATTCAGTGGGCATCTTGAAATGTATCCCCTTTAGATAAGGAGGGACTACTGTACTTGGCCTTCTCATCCCTTGATTTGATCTTCACTAATATGCTCTTTTGAACAAAACAGAGTTCATTCCAATATGCATATCTGTGAAACACAAAGTTAAGGCTGTTGAGATTCATGTCATAGAGGCGATTTTTAAAATTATGCTGATGAAACTCACAAGTGGATAACTGTAAAGAAACTAGTATCTGTTGGAGACCAACTCTAAGTCGTGCCAAATGCTTTCAAAATAATCGCTGAATTTTCCCAAACATGGGTTTGTAGGTAGAGAGCATTGCCCACAAGACAGAAAGTGAGATTACTTTCTTATGCAGGCAGAAGGCAGATGTGCAGCCGAACAACCTGCAACTCTAGGTTAAAAAAGCTGATTTTACCCAAATCCAGGTGTCGACATAAAATCAGGGTTAAACACCACTCCCCGCCCCCTACACAACAGCATGAAAAATACCTACGTAAAGTATTTGGAAATCCATAAACACGGGTGCATTTGCATGGAAACACCAACTTCAACAAAGCTAGTTTGGTATCCAGAGTAAGACCCAGACTCGCTCACACATCGCCCTTTCTGCTGTATTTGCTATAAAAGCGAATTGTCATCAAGTTCTGCGATTCACAGGCAAATAGAAAAGAGCTGTATTCCTGGCTCCCAAATAAGATCTTTCTAAAATAATGCGGCTGCCATTTGGGCAAATATATATGTGCGTTTTGTCTTGACAGCTTGTCGACTGGCAGACGGTCCCTGAACATCCGATTCATTTCCATTTCATCATGGCCAATTTCTCAATTAGAATTTTATTTTTCACTTTCTGCCCAACGAGATCCCCCTCCCTAGCCCTCGCTGGCATTCTTGGGGACTCACAGGTGCAGGTGCTGGCCTTTCTGTGGTACCAAAGGAAGAAAAATGAAAGGAGGAAGGAGGGGAGGGGACGGGAGAGGCCGGCTGAGGGAGGAGGGTGGTAATGGGGAGAGAGAGGAGATGGTAGTGACCTTCCTCCTGATATTCACCTTCGTGAGAAATGAAGGGAATAACTCACACCTGACAATAAAATAGTGCGGCTGCCTCTGCCTCCTGTACCCAGAGAGGCTGGAGTCAAACAGTAACCAGACACGCGATTACATGGGATCGATCCATGGGGAAAGGTTCCAACGTAAAGTGGGAAATAGATGAATAAAAGTAAGTTTTTTAAAAATATGTTTCTTTTTATGTCACAGAGGAAGGAAAGGGAGGGAGGGAGAGATAGAAACATCCATGATGAGAGAGAATCATTGACTGGCTGCCTCCTGCACGCCCCATACTGGGGATCGAGCCTGCAACCCAGGCTTGTGCCCTGACCTTGAATCGAACTGTGACCTCTTGGTTCAAAAGTCGACCCTCAACCACTGAGCCACACCAACTGGGCAATAAAAGCAATTTTTGGAAACCACCACAACAATCAATTATTGGGTGCCTGTTTACTTTAAGGTACACCTTAATCTTGTACGCAATCACAATTCTCATACAATGAAAGCAAGATGGAAATGTCGATCTTTGCATTGTAGCTAAGGGAAATGAGTGATCATGGAACCTCCCTGAACTTCAAGGTCAACCAGATCATCTGGGATGGTACCAGGATTAAGAATTCTATCTAACGTCAGACCCACATGTGGAACTACGGCAGCACGCTTCATGTAGTTTTTGAAAAAGATGTGAGAGAGAAGGCATTTTTTAAAGAAAAACAACAACTGTGCCTGTTAACGAACATTAATTTTTCTTAGTCTACACTGTCACACAAAGAAAAATCTTTTCGATAGAGAAACAGCATGTACTGTATATTTACAGGTGCACACGCACGTTGCATAATGTAGCTAATAATATCTCCACAACCCCTTTCTTAGCTGAAATTGACCTTGGAGGAGGCAACTTCTTTCTCAAAATATTTATCAGGCACATGACTCATATACACAGAAATGGAAGCCTCTGACACATTTACAATAAATAGAGGCTTGGCCATTAAGATGTAAAAATCGTCACGGTGAGGCAAAAATAACCACTTCCCTCTTCATCATTGGTTAGCAAGTTAAGGAAAGGGGTCTCTGCGTATTGAAGGTGACCATCTGCCCTTAAAACCAAATTACCGTATTTTTCGGACCATAAGACGCTCCGGACCATAAGACGCACCAGTTTTTAGAGAAGGGAAATGAAAAAAAAAAAAAGATTCTGAAACAAATAGTGTCCTAAAATATTTTATGTGCATTAAAACCCAACATCACAGTCATAAACACATGTAATCAACCCTGTAAAGTAAACAGCAGCATTTAGAACCATTTTAAAGCCGGGCAAGCACACAGAGACCACACAGAGCCAGGCAAGTAAAAAAACTTTTTTTTTTAAGTATATGTGTAGGCTATATTTGGACCATAAAACGCAGGGACTTTTCCCCCCCACTTCTGGGGGGAAAAAAGTGCGTCTTATGGTCCGAAAAATACGGTACTCTCACCTGGATGAGAAGGTGAACGAAAGAAACAAGTCTCTTCCCCAAACAAGAAAATAAGAAAGAAAAAGTGTTTCTCAAATTCTGTTTCCATGTCATGATTTAAAAGAAGTAGGCACATGGAGATATTTTGCTTAAGGGTGTGTTTGTTTTTGTGGGAATAGTAATGGGAGAGAGAGAATTTCCTACTGGAAAGCCATACAAGTTTCCCTAGAAAAAGTGTCATTTCAGCCAATCCAAGAGGAGCGATGTGATTCTGAAAAGATGAAAATCAAAACAAAACAAAACAAAATAAAGGTAGACTTTCTTGCACAAAAAATGGACCAAGTAGAGTGTTGGTAGGAGTCATACTTGGGGGAGTGGTGAAGACCTGCCATCCATTCTGAGTTGCTGCTGCAGTGGGCGCTTCTGACAACATTATAGGGTAAGACAGGAGATATCAGCTAAAGCTAGGCTGCTCACCTCATTCTGGCCTTCCATTTATGTCTGTGTGTGTGTGTGTGTGTGTGTGCGTGTGTGTGTGTGTGTTTAATTTGTGTCATCATGTCTACCTACATGGAATGTATGTGATTTTGTTGTATTTTGATGTATGTATTCTTATATGTAATTTTAAACTAAGTAGTGCCTATATTCCATACATAAGAATGACTTTTGGGCCTGGCCAGTGTGTCTCAGTAGTTAAGTACCAATCTATGAACCAGAGATCACAGATTCCTGGTCAGGGCACATGCCCAGGTTGCGGGCTTGATCACCAATGTGGGATGTACAGGAGGCAGCCAATCAATGATTCTCTCTCATCATTGATGTTTCTATCTCTCTCCCTCTCCTTTCCTCTCTAAAATCAATAATTTTTTTAAAGAAAGATTTTTGATATTTCACACTCTCATTTTTGGATCTTGCCTATTAATTTTGTCAGATAAGAAAGAGCTCTATATTATAAAGTCTGGGACCAGGGCAATTTCCAGGATCAAGGCCAGGGTTTGGGGAGAGACAAGAAGATCCCCCTCAAAAAAGAAAAAAAAATAGAAAATCATGTTTTGACATATATGCTGCTCTGAAAAATGTAATGAGTACTTCAATGGCTCAGAAAAATTGGGGGTGGGGTTTTTGGTGATGGCTGTGCTTCTAAAACAAAGTTCAGCCTGGCTGGCAGGGCTCAGTGGCTGAGCATCAAGCTATGAACCAGGAGGTCAGGGTTTGATTCCCATCCAGGGTACCTGCCCAGGTTACAGGCTCCATCCCCAGTAGAAAGAGGGTAGAAGGCATCCAATCAATGATTCTCTCACATCATTGATGTTTATCTCTCTTTTCCCCTCTCCCTTTCTCTCTGAAAGAAAAAAATATATATATCCTAGATAATAAAGAGCTAATATGCTAATTAGACTGGACAGAGGAATGACCTTCCAGAACAACCAGTGGGCGGGGCCATGAGGCAGCCGAGGCTGCAAGGGCCGAGCCCCTTACATGAATTTCATGCATTGGGCCTCTAGCTGTGTGTGGGTTTTTTGTTTTGTTTTGTTTTTGTTTTTGTTTTTTGGTGGTTTTTTTTTTTTAAGTTCAGTTAAGGTCAGACACCACTGCATAGAAGTCTCCAGTAACTGTGATTCCTAATCCACTCTGGGTTCAGCCTACCAGCTCTATTCAGTATCTGGCGGCCTACAGACCTCAACGGCTCCCTATTTCTCGACGCACTGCAATTGCATGCGAATGTGCACAAATAATTAACCATCAAGCAAATATCCGCCGGATTAGTCTGGCATGTTGGAACAAATCTTGATAAATCCGCCTCAGTCACAAATACTCCAAGTACAAGTGCAAGAGAAGAATGCAAATTCAGCCTATTGAAGTACTGTCATGGAAGGAGAGATATTTTAATAAAACCGCTTCGTCGGTTCCTATTACTAAGGGACTAAAGCTACTGAGCTGTGGCACCGAGGCCAAAATAAAGGGGGGGGGGGGAGATTTGGAAATACAAATGAGAGCCAAGACAGTCACCGATGCCTTTTCTTCAGCCACGCACTATCTCTGAGGCCAGGAGCTATGATAAAAGTGACTCTTAATAGTTCTGTGTACGTACCCAAAATGGACATCTCCGGCACAGTCGCATGATAGGGTCCATTAAGAAACTCCGGCGCGTTGTCGTTGATGTCCTGAACTTTAATAATGAATTCGGAAGGAGGTTCCAGGGGCTTGTTGGTCTCAAAATCCACTGCCTGGGCTGTGAGGGTGTACTCCGCCTTTTCCTCCCGGTCCAGTCTCTTTATGGCGTGGATATCTCCCGTTATGTCATTTATTTGGAAGATGGTCCCAGCTCCATCGCCTGATAGGATATACTTGATTTTTTTGCTCCCAGGATCCAGGTCTGTGTGCAGCTAAATCAAAAGGGGACATTGGTTAGCGATGCACCATTGTTTTCTCTTTAACTCCCTCCTGCTTCAATACCATGCTGGTTCTTTTTGCATTTATTGGAACTTTACTAATCTCTGCAATCAGAAGCTGCACACAGAGTCTGTGTGGCTGTATCCTTTTTAAAAATGTTATCTTTATTGTTGAAAGTATTACCCATGTCCCCCTTTTTTCCCCATTGTCCCTCTCTACACTGCTAGTATCACCCACAGGCATTCACTGCACTATGGTCTATGTCCATGGATTATGCATACACTGAGTGGCTAGACTATGATGATTTCTGAATGCATAATAATCTGGCCACTCGGTGTATATCCTATATAATAAAAGGCTAATATGCAAATTGTCCCCTCAACCAGGAGTTGACCAGCAGGCAGGACTGCCAACTGCCCATGTCCTCTCCCCCTGGCCAGGCTGGCAGTAGCTGTATTCCACCCATGCACAAATTCATGCACGAGAGAGAGAGAGAGAGAGAGAGAGAGAGAGAGAGAGAGAGAGAGAGAAAGAAGATTATTATGTATTCAGAAATCATAATAATCTGGCCACTGAGTGTATATGCATACAGGTTCACAAATGTATTCTTATAAATCAAAATAAAACATAATGAAATTCAAACAGATAAGTTGGAATGGTAAGTAAAATAGTGACAGACTCATAGACAGAGAGGAAGATGACAGCTGTTGGCTGGGGTAGGGTGGAGGTAAGGGGGGACAGGGGGTATGTCAAGCGATTGAGCAAAAGAGAAAACCTCATTCATGGACATGGGCAGCAGTGTGGTGATTGCCAAGCAGGGCCAGGGTGGGGCTGGGGGCCTGGAGAGTGAAGGCTGGAGGGAGGTAGAGGAGGGTATGGTGGGGATAAATGGTGATGGAAGGAGACTTCACTTGGGGTAGTGAACATACAATACAGTGTACAGAGGAGGTGTTGTAGAACTGTGTACCTTAAACCTGTGTAATTTTGTTAGTCAGTGCCACCCCAATAAACTCAATTTAAAAAGATTTTCACCAGTTTAGTATAATATAGAATGATAAAAAGATCAAGGAGAATATAACAAAAAACATGTATGGATTCTTTTCAGTTTATTAATACATGAATTTAAAGTTTTTATTACTAGCTACCTTTTAGGGTTCTCTAGTATATGCCAAGAACCATGCCAATCACTTCTCACATAATTCCCATAATTTTTATCCAAAACTAAATGAAATAAAATGCCCTATAAAATAAAAGCCTAATATGCTAATTGACCAAACAATGAAACCACCAGCAGAATGACCAGTCCCTATAATGAGCATTGACCACCAGGGGGTAGATGATTAATGCAGGAGCTGCCCCCAGCCCATAGGCCCCAGGCCAGCCAAAGCAGGTGCCAGCGGGAGCCCCTGGATTGGCCCACTGGTAGCCCCCCAGACCCCAAATCAGCCCTGATCATCGGCCAAGCCTAAGGACCCTATCAATGTACAAATTCCATGCACTGAGCCTCTAGTTTCATATAAAACATCAGAAAAATGAGGATTGACAAGGCACACAATAACCTCCCTGAGGTTTATATTTTTGAATGAAGTGTAGTAGACCCAGAATCCAACTCAGTTTTGCCTGCAGTATTTACAAAAACAAAAATAATTCTAATAATCTGATGCAAATTATAATCTTATGTTTGTGGTTGGCCAGCATGGCTCAATGGTTGAGCATGAACTATGAACCAACAGGTGTTAGATTCCCAGTCATGGCACATGTCTAGGTAGTGGGCTCAATCCCCAGTGTGAGGTGTGCAGGAGGCAGCTGATCAATGGTTCTCTCTCATCATTCATATTTTTTTTTCTCTCTCCCTCTCACTTCTTTTCTGACATCAATAAAAATATATTTTAAAAAATCGTATGGTTGTCTAGGATGTTTTTTACTTTGTTCCATACAATTCTTCTAGGAAAAATCATTCCCATTTTATGAAGAACACTGAGGCCAGAACCAGAACAGGGAGCACATTTTCTAAAAATTGGAATGTTGAAAAATAACGACTTTGCATCAGGGATCCAGCTCCATCTCAGGTCATGGCAACACATACTGAACACCTGTCCCACCTCAAATGTGATGAAAAGTACAGGATCCCTGGCTTTCAACTGTTAAGTTTACTGTCAAGGGGGAGACAGGTGTGTTCTGACACCTGGTGCTTCTTTTAATATTATGTTGACTCCTGCTTTAAAAAAAAAACTAAAATAAAATAAGAATTTATATTTTTGATTTGCTTCAAAAAAAGGGAGGGCGCATTGAATTATAGTTGGAAAATACCACTCAAGTACATGTTTTCAGTTTAATGTAGTTATTTAAATACCAATGTAGTTCCTAAAAATATTAAACACATACACACACACACATAAACACACACACACACACACACACACACACACACACACACACACATGCGCGCGCGCACACGCGCACAAACAAAACTTCTTCAAAGAAACTCTTAGGAACTCAAAAGATTGTGTTCTCTTGGGATCACTTTTCTTCAGAACAATCTCCGTCACTTTCTTTGCCAATTTAAATTGTGTTTAGCACTTCAATAAATGAAAAGATTTGCTTAAAAAACATAAAGCAGTAACAAAGAGTTCAAATGCATCTAGATCTCCTACTTTGCTTTTGAATATTTTAAAAAGTTAAAGCCTATGATTACATCAAATATTTATTGAATCTCCAAATGTATCCCTTTCATTTATTGTATTAAATTTATTAACAAGAGCAAATATTGAAATGCCACTTTGTCTTAATGAATGTGGGATTATAATTCATTAATGTGATATTAATCCTAATTTATGATCGCTTTAATTTATGTGCATTTTAACATTCCAATTAGCATTTTTATTAAAAAAAAAAAAAGAACATTTGAATAATATATCATTCTTGGAGGTTTCCATTCACATACAAAGCATTCCTCAGACACAGAAGGTATTGGTATAATTTGCATTTAGCCACCATGTATTTATATATATATATATATATATATATATATATTTGTTTGATGTTTCTTTCTCACATCTATGTTTCTCTCCCTCTCTTCTCCTCTCTAAAAAGAAATCAATAAAAATATATCCTTGGGTTAGGATTTAAAATATTTTTTTTTAAGTTAAGCCCTTAATGGTATTATCATTATTATGTTGGAATTTATCTGTGCCATATTTTTCTTACATTTATCAATTAGTAAATTAGTATTATAATACAACCTTAACTAAGGTTTTAATGGCACCTTGTCTTTAGAAATAACTGAGGGAGAAGAAGAGAAAAACAGTGTTGGAAAGAGAAAAACACAAAGTTAAGATTCCGGTCTCTCTAACTACATGAACTGGAAAAATTAATACACTTGTTTGTGATTCTGTGGCTCTGCCTGTAGCATGGGGATGAGACATCTACCCCAAACAATTGATTTTAGAATCTGATCTAAGCTATTTGGAAAATAGGGGAAAAGGGAAGCAGCCGTGGTAAATGTGCAATAACTAAAATCGTTCTACTTCATACCATATTCCACCATAAACAACTATCTGGAAACACTCTGCTCAACCTCAGGGAAAGCAAGTTCCCAAGACTTCATGCTGGAAAAGCAGAGAAAAGACAAAAACAAACAAACAAACAAAACAAACAAAAAAAACCAACAACAACACAGGAAACACAATAGGACGATAGGATTTTTCTTACTTCTAAAAATTCAGTTTTAGCAAGTTTCAGTAAAATCCAGATCCATGGGCTAATGGAAATCTTGAAACACAGGATGCTGCATGTCTCTAGTCATTAGTTTTATGTTGTTATCGATATTTGTATCATACATGCACTTTTGCATGTTGCTTGTTCAAGGAACCAGTTTGGCATTACAAATAAAAGAGTTGTGGGTGTGTAAGAACAGCCATTTACAGGCGTCAAATGCTTGTGAGAGCCCGGGTCTGGACCTCAGAAGGATTTGGGGTACGTGGTGACAAGCGGCTACATCTGTTTTCCTCACAGAAGTCTGGGAGCATCTGCTCACTGCAATGCAACCGCCCTGCTCCTACCAATGCATCCACCTCAAAACCCACTCTGAGACGAAGGGGCCAAAGGCATCCCAACTCACCAAATGTTCACACATCATACATCCTGCACAGGTGTGAGGAACACCTCTCCCAAGGGCTGCTCCTGTTAATTAGAGCAGGATAAAGGCCACCTGCAAATTGGTCTGGGGTGGTAAGTCTGCTTGGTCTGGCTGTGATACAAAAAGACCTCTTCCATTCATTTATTAAACACTAGAGGCCACAGAGGCGCCGGTGGGGCGGGGGGGTGGGGGTGGGGGGCGTCCCTCAGCCAAGCCTGCACCCTCTCCAATTTTGGACTCTTCGAGGGATGTCTGACTGCCTGTTTAGGCCCTATCCCAGGCAGATATCCCTCTCACAATCCAGGACTGCTGACTCCCAACTGCTCGCCTGCCTGCCTTTCTGATTGCCCATAACTACTTCTTCCTGCCAGCCTGATCACCCCCTAACCACTCTCCTGCCAGCCTGATTGATGTCTAACTGCTCTCCTGCCAGCCTGTTTGCTCCTAACTGCCCTCTCTTGCAGGCCTGTCACCCCAACTGTTCTCCCATACAGGCCTGGTCCCCCCCAACTGCCCTTCCCTGCAGGCCCAGTCGCCCCCTACATCCCTCCTCTGCCAGCCTTGTCACCCTTAACTGCCCTCCCCTGCAGGCTTGTTAGCCTTCAACTGCTCTCCCTTACAGGCCTGGTGCCTCCCAACTGCCCTTCCCTGCTGACTATCTTGTGGTGGCCATCTTGTATCCACAGGGAGGCAGGATCTTTGACCACATGGGGGCAGCCATATTGTGTGTTAGAGTGATGGTCAATTTGCATATTACTCTTTTATTAGATAGGATACTTATTGTCTGATAAACATTTTATATGTGCACATATCATGGTATCCTCACAGCACACCGGAGACCATTTCTCCATTTGC